CGGCGGCGCGGGCGCGGCGGCGCGGGGCGGGCGCCGGCCGCCCTACCATAGTTCCTCTAAAGCAGGTGCAGCCGCTTTCCCCGCCCGAGCATCCCCCCCCGCGCCCCCCGCTCGCGCGGAGCAGTTGTTTTTTGGGTTTTTTTTGGGGGGTCTCCTTGGTGGTTGGAGCGCCCCGCTGGATGGAGCTTCCTCCGCCTCCCCACCCCGGCGTTCTTTGGGCCCCCCCGCGTTTTGCTCATTAATGCCTGCGCTAATTGGTTTCTGCCGCGGTCGGTCCCCGGCGCGCAGCGAAGCTGTGGGCTTGGGGAAGGGGGGGAGCGGCGGGGAAACTGAGGCACGGGGGGCTGGGGACAGTGGGAGCACAGGATGGGCCCAAAGAGCGCTCGGAACGTCGAGTTCAGCGCACGGGGCAGAGGCAGGACAGGGGCGCTGAGCCTCACTGACAGATGGGAGCAGCGAGAGGCTGAGCTGGTGACCCTAACACATCCAACCCCGCCCTGTGACACCCCCTGTGGCACACCTGTGGCACCCAGACACAGCAGGGACAGGGTCCCCAGAGCCCCTGGGGGAGCAGGGGTGCTGCAGCCAAACCAGCAGCCAGATATTGCACCCAAACATCCGCAGAGAGGCCCCAAAACTCCGGGAGGGGCTGGAGCCCATCCAGCAGCCGGTGCTGCTCCCAAACCCTCGCCCGGCGCTGGGGACACAGGTCAGGGTGACACGGCTGGAGCAGGGGAGGGACCAGAGCTCCAGCCCTGCCACTGCCTCGGAGTTTGGGGCAGAATTCCCACCTGCCTCAGGCACCTGCACGGGCTGGGGATGGATGATCCCACTCCCACATGGAGAGGTTTTCCAATCCTGATGGCACCAAAGAGCGGCCACGCTGTTCCCTTTCTTTAAAATTCAAAAGTAGCTCTTCTGAAATTTCCATTTTAGGGACAGCTAAAGTAGCTTTAAGAGGTGAATTTGGAATGAAAAGTATTTCAACCCACCTGGATTTTTCTTTCCCCCTGTAATTTAATTTTTTACAGGAAGACTGTTTATGGTTGGTTTGGGTTTTTTTTTAAATAATCTATTATTGGATGAAAAGTTAGGGAATTTCTGTGAGATGGGACAGCTGGTTTCCTACAATGACATTCTGATGGCCCTAGGAAATATCCCATTGGTTTTGTCCCCAAAAATCTTTCATTGAAGGGAACAAAAGGGCCAGCACCAGGCTGAAACTGAGGTCTTAACCCCCTCCTGTTGGAGTCCTAGGATTTTCCAGAGGGCTTGGCTTGCTGTCAGTCCCCCCTGGAGCTGCCACCAGGGACCCCCTGATGCTCCCTCCTCTGCAGAACCCTCTCCTGGTGGAAGGAGCCCCACGCTCATGGAAGGGGCACCCCGGGCCCCGTTTCTCAGAAGTGGCTTCACTTCCTGCCAGCACCTCCTTTAGGGAGGGCAGCGTTCCCTCTGCGTGCATGGAGCACCAGGAGAACCTCTCCAGCCAGCCCTGGGTCCTGGGTGACCCCTCGGGTCCTGGGTGACCCCTCGGATGCAGGGTGGCCCAGCAGGGCTGGCTGTGTCTCATCCATCCCACAGGACAGATCCCCCAGAGCAGGCTGCCCCAGGTCCCTCCAGCCCGGCCTTGAGCTTCCAGGGATGGGGCAGCCATTCCTCTCGCTCCAGGCCCCGGTCCAAATCCCTTTCCAGCTCTCCTGGAGCATCTGCAGGCACGAGGAACCTCCGGGCTGAACATTCCCAGCTCTCCCAGCGTGGCAGGGGAGATGCAGCCCTTGGATCAGCCCTTGATGCTTCAACCCACTCCGTGCTCAGGACTCAGAGTTACGGGAACACCCCACCCCGTTTTAGGGGGTCCCCACGGGGGAAGTGCAGCTGTGACCCCCCCAGTTCAGCCCAGATCCCTCCTGACACGCTCCAAACCCCAGGAGTGCTGGAAGCTCCCAGATCTTTGTGATTTCTCCCCCCACCCATCAGTCCACGACAAACACAACACCCGCTTTTATTCCATCCCAAACTCGCACTTTTCTGAGTGAAAACCCAGCTTTGAGTGACGAGCCTCGTCCAACCTGTGTGCTTGCCCTCCTTTCCCTTCATCAGAGGAGCCCCTTTGAAGACATCAAACATCACCAGAGCAGGAGGGAGCTGCACGGACAGACGTGGGCAGCCTTCCACTGAGGGCACTCTGTGAATCCGAGATCCCTTTTTGTTCAACTGAGTCAGCCTGGAGCTGAGGCAGAGCAGGGAGGAGGGATCTGGGAGAGGGGACACGGATGGGTCAGGTCAGACAGGGTTGGCACAGCTCCTTCCCTGCTGGGGTTGGTCTCTGAGGGATCATTTTGCTCCTGGGAAAGCAGTGGGGACATCAGGGAGGAGGAAATTCCCAGGAAGGAGAGTACAAGTGCTCCTGCAGCAGGGCTGAGCTCCCAAAAGTGAGACACAGGGAAAAAGGAAGGGAAAAAAACTTCCTTTTGTTCTGCACCAGGTAAAGCCTCGGGCGTGGATCACCTCCAGGGGAGGCAGGGGGATTTGGAGCTCTGGGATAAAACATTTTATGTGATGCAAAGCTCTGAGCCACGTGGGCAGAGCAGCAGAGTCAGAGCAGGGTGAGGGATCAGCCCAAAGTCCTTCTGCTCTTCCAGGAAAAACTCCACCTTCCCCCTCTTCCCAGCTCATCCTCACTCCCAGCATCTGCAATCCACTCCCAAACTCCCAGCTGGGGGAAGTTTTTCCTTACAAAGTTGGGTTTTTTCTCCTCCAGGGACTGTCTGATTTCATAATCAGGATTTTAAAAACCTTTAAAACCTGGAAATTTTCAGCCAAAGGACGGTGATCCCATGTTCTCCTGGAATGGGAACAGCCCCAGTTTGCTGAAGGTTGACAGAAAGCTGAAATCTTCCATGGAAAAGCTCAAGTTGGGTTTGTCCTGAATCCCACCCGAGGAAAAGCAGCTCTGAATGACCTCACCTGAAGCATCCCCATCCCTCCAGGAAAGTTCTCTCCAAGACGAACCCAAAGCCTGTTTGCCACTGGACTGGCATTTCTGGCAAACAGGTAGTGGAGATCATCTCCTTTGGTTCCTTTTTTTTTTCTTCTGTGGGAAGTGCAACTTCAGAAACAAAATCTGAGTTTTCTGGATGTGCTCATTTGAAAAATCAGTGTTTGGTGATGGGAACAAGTCGCCCTGAACTCCTCTGCTTCCTGCCTCGCCCTGGATTCTCTCTCCCTCCTGCTTCCAAGGCAAAATAAAGAAAAAAAGCACATGGAAATATGAAGAAAAAGAGAATTGGGGCTGGGAAAATGGAGAGAATGAGGGAAGAAAGTAATTTTTCCCTTGCAGAGCAGTGTTTTGGGGATGGCGCTGTGCATTGCCACAGCTGAGCTCCGAACTCCCATCCCTTCCAAGGAGGAAATTTCAACTGATAAGCAGCAAATCTAATTTCCCACCCAAATTACGCCATCAATTTTCACCCCAGCACCCCCAGCCCAGCCCTGTGCCCGCTCCCTGTCCCTCCTGAGCATCCACCCCCAAACCCTGGGGCTCATCCCAGCCCCTCCAGGGCATCCCTGGGGCGGCGAGCAGAGCAGGACCAGCCTTGAGGGGCAAGCTCTGGGCGCTGCACCCAGGGCTGGAGAGGCTGGGGGTCCCACAGAGACCCCCCGAGGGTCAGAGCTGGCACGGCCAGGCTGCCAGGAGCCGAGCACACGGAGCAATCCGGCTCTGCCCGGACGTGCTGGCGAGGCCGCGGCCGCTGCAGCTCTTGGAGCCCTCTCGGCTCTTGCGTAAGGCCGAGGATGATGCACCGAGTTCCTGTAAGTGATGAGAGGCTCCTGGCTGCCCGGGAAAGCCACAGGCTGCTGCCTGTCCCGGGGCTGGCACCGCTCCCCCTGCTCCAGCCAGAGGGATCCCTGCAGAGAAAGCCCCGGGGATCCCCAGGCAGGGGATCCCAGCACTCCCAGCACGGAAATCATCAGCAACTGGGGCTCAGCTCAGCTCAGGGGGGGTTTTGAGGGAGTTTTCAGCCCCTCAGGTCCCTGGCCCATGGCTGTGCTGTGCCTCAGTTTCCCCCATTGCCACTGAGGGTTGCACTTGGGTTTTAGGGAGCTGGAGGTAATGGGTAAGGGAGGGAAACCCCCAGTGCCTGGGAGTGCTCCCACACAGGGACACGAGGATGTTCGGGCTGTTTTGGGGATCCCCAGACA